TATCTCACCCCATGTGTTTCAGTCGTGTTGCACCACAGTAATGAACCGAAGGATGCCACAGCTGAACGAGGTCCCAACACTAGGTTTAACGATCCTGTTTGCTCTTCATCATCCTGTGCGCGTCCATCTTCTATAACACCCCTAAATGCCTCGAAATTTCTTCAGACCCCGAAATCCGACCTACTTTGCTGCCTTTGTTACGTACACTCTGAAGCGAGCAGGATAATAAGCTGTGCTTGATCGGACCCTGGATTCCACCTGCATCGATGTATGCCTGTCAGAAACAAGAATCGAGTATTTGCACTGACCATCCTGTCGCTCTCCTCTCGTTTCTGGCTATTAACTTCTGCTGAGTGAACGCCTCTGGAGCTAGACATGCCGGGTTGGGTACTATGCTGAGCCATCGAACAGAGGTATGTTTAGTTGGCCGAATACTCATTGACGGTCGCCAATGGGCAGTTCGTTTGGTAACGTATATTAAAGACCCTGTAAAAGTCAGGCCTGTCACTCATTTAATTTACATGCTTGCGCTCCAACCGACTGTAGCTTGCAATCTACCAGATAACTTACATGACATTCTAAGTGTTCTTTTACGACAAGTCGAAAGCTCAAGCATCGTGTTTGCTGGTGAAGTGAACGTGCAGTTCGGTAAACGTGGATCTGCTGAGGCTCAATCGGGTAGTGGCATTGGATTAGACATGCAACATGTGGACAGTAGAGAACGTCTATTGGATCCGTGCTGACCGCAGGCTGTTCCTTTGCGATATCAACCTCCGGAACAGCGGAATTCTTTTAACCACATGGTATCCACCAACGAACTAGCCAGGAACCCAAGTAGGCTGAATAGTCGTCGGTCAGTGATGGCGAGGACCAATCACTGAAATACCCGTGTGGACTTCGGCATGGGGCTTGTTGCTGCTTTTCATTGTAGGTCCGCGACAACGCACATCCCATATGGCCATGGGGAAGTTAGTCAAGCCAGAACTCAAATATACTCATCAGAACCGACTTCTTCAAAGTCAATATGGGATGATCACTGCAGCGGGACATCGAAAGTTGCAACTAATATCGGAGCTTGTATATGTGGTACAACCCGACCAACCACTGGAAGCAAAAATGCTGGAAGTATCCGCGCTCCGTTTCACTTTATTCGTTCGACTGTTCATTGAAAATTTCTTGTCATCGAGCTTATCAAGGACCACAAGGGCTCTGTAAAGAACCTGTAAAGAACGTTTAGAAAAATATTCCGAACAACAACTCACTTGGCCACTCGCCACCTCATCGGGACCATCGCCCCTTGACAGAGAGTTGAACCATGGTATAAAACCCGCTTCAGCCTCAGAAGCTTTCGAGTGTGCATCCATACCCTGGCGTTACTGTGCTTCCGGTCTTGTCGACTTTTTACATGCTCTGTTCAGAAGAGATCATGGGCTCCTCAATCAGTGTTTGTATGCTTTAATTGCGTTTATCTGGGAGACCATTCCGGACAAATGGGATCAGTCCATCGAGCCTAGCCTACTCGCGGTGTATGCAGTGACCACAGAGGTGTCAGTTTGACTCCTGTTGTGACAAGGCTTCTGGAGTCACTGATTCCGTCTTATGGTTCGACGTCTTATGGTGGCAAGCGCTTGATTGACTCGTGAGAATCAAGCGGGGTTTCGACCAGATTTAGGCTGTATTGACCACATCTTCACTCGCCGTCAGGTGTTAGACGCCAAGTGTCCGGGGTTTCGACCAGATTTAGGCTGTATTGACCACATCTTCACTCGCCGTCAGGTGTTAGAGCAACGCCAAGTGTACAGACGACCCATAATCTAATCTCCATATCTCATACTTCTGAGCGGCTGAGAGCGTATGGTGAGCTCTCCCTACAAAAAGTGGTCTCCGACAAGGGTGTCCACTCTCTCCATTCTTGTTCAACTTCAAAACCCCGATGCTCAATTTGTTAATTGTGTATGTCATGGTCTAGTCTCTTCGAGTGTTGTTCTCCGTACCTCCTTCAGGATGGCGCGAACCGCGAGGTGGACAGCACATGACTTGGCAGAAAGGTATGAAAGAGACCACGAAGAGTTTGGGTGTTGTTTGTGTTGTGAGCCTTCCAGGATGGGGTCCCCGTGACCCCGCCTGTGCTTGGCTGGAGATGTCGCAAGAAATGGCGGCTAATCGATGTCAGCGGCGTTCGCTTCTTCCCAGATTGCCTGATTGAGCGTTTGGAGGTGTAGGCACCTCAGAATGCTTGACATAGGCCAGCACTAGGTCCTCACTCACTCACTCCATTTTTCTTCTTTTCACTCTAGGCTTTAAATATATGTTAGATGAACCTTATGGTTGTACAGCAGTGAAGAATCAGTGTCAATCCTGATGTTGCCGCCTTTGATGATGATGAGTTGTGCGATTATCTTATCTTAATAGCTGCTGACGGAGACTTAGACCACCAGGAATATACAGACGACATCGTTCCGTAGGATGCTGTTTTATGATGGCATCAGCGAGTCCGCAGCGAGACAGTTAGGAAAAGTGTCCAATTATACCATTATCCATTTGAAAATTGTGTCTAGCACCACAAGCCGCAGCGGCCTCATCATGTAATGCATGTCCCAGATCATTGTCAAAAATAGCTCCGTTTCCCCTGCCAAATTCGGAAAATCGCAAGCCAAACTCAGGCTTGACGGACGGGTATGAAACTAATTACGATAACTCTGAGTATTGAGATGTGACTCGCTTTCCAGTATGGGGTTCGCGTGATTCCCCTGTTCGGTTGAAGAGGCCGCCAGTTGTTAATCGATGTCAGTGGCGTTCTTCCCATCATTTTCTATCCCCATTACCTGAGTGAGTGCACGGAAGAGTAGGCGCCTCAGAATGACTGTGGTAAGCTAGAAAAGGGCTCCCCCACCATCCACCTTTACTCTTTGTTTCAAACGATTAAATTATGGTTGTGCAGCAGTGATGCATTAGTGTTGAACATTGCTTCCTTTAAGTTGAGTGGTGGTTCTTTTGAAATACGCTTACATTTCACAGGTTTATCCGCTTGCTGAACATGTCCCTTCGTAACTGCTGTCACGTTGTTTGTACGTAATTTTGTCGCTCCAAACACAACTCACCGCACCTTTTACCTGTCCGGTCGTTCACCCGTAGTCAACTCCATCTGCTTCACCTTGGGTTTTAGGACCCGACGAACGAGTTTGCGACTAGGTGTAAGACCGCACTACAGTAAACCGTACAGAGCATGATAAACGCCCGTGAGGTCCACAATGCTCATCTCAGCAGACGGCACCCGCTACGAGTCCCAGTCGGAGACCATGAGGGAGCCGAACTCCTACACAGAGATTCAGGTCCAACCGGCCTTTTGAACATGCTGCCATGATTCGGATACAATTGACGGAATATAACAGCTAACAGGATCATTTGCACCTGCTCTCAAACCAACGTATGAAATTACCCCAAATGTGTTATCGAAGCCTCCTAATTTCCTCCAGGCCAATGAAACTGGATCCCCATCATCGATTAGAGAATCTAATACGACGAACACAATAACCTCTGCACGAACAGGGATACAGACAGCGAACAAGGCAACTTGAACTCCAAGAGATCTACCTGCTGGATGGTCTGGGACATAAGCTTCATTATTCCTTCACCATTATGCCACGTTTGTTTTGTTATGCGACCTAGGAAAAGCCAAGAATCGATCGATGCGCAAAACCAATAACCCAACTAAAAGCATAAATCCGTAGATCAGAGGGCGTACCGATCCATCTCAAATTAGGCGCTTTTCTTTAAACCATTTATTGTGGGTCGTAGATTCAGACAGTCATTAATGTCCTGTCAGCCCCCATACAGATTGAATAGGCTAACTAGTTAGGCACAAAAGCATGAAGCTGGGAGCCCATATGCTCAAGAATTGGAATGTGGTTTCTGTAGAGTGTGAGAATGCCTTTGTTATGCATGGTGAAAAGGGACCAGAAAACATCATGAGGATTAATGCCAAAAAGGATTTGGGCTTCTGGGTCTCCTCAAACTTGTCCTTCTCACTACACCACGAGGAATCGGCCAAAAAGGCATTCGTCGGATGATCCGACGCACCTTCTCCCGTATTACTCGCATGGACTTCCAAATACTCATGGGGTCTACGTCAGACCGCTCCTGGAGTACGACAACCAAGTTGTCTACTCAGGACGTACGAAAGACGTCACCCTCATTGAGCGTGTCCAGCGGGCCGCCACGAGAATGGTTGCTGGCCTCAAATCCGTGGACTACGAAACGCGCCTGGCGACGCTGGATCTCTTCCCCTAGAGTACCGTCGCGAATCCTCGCGCTGGTAAGCATACTGCCCCGCGCTGGGAACATAAAGAGCAGTGCTACACCCTTTTTCCACTTGTGCCTTTCAGGTGAACGACAGCCACTGACCGACAAGAACAAAAGCGACCCGGGAAACTCGGGCAAAAGCCTCGATCCTGTGTATCAATCCGTGAATCCGTGAGAATCGGAGGGCAATGAATGCCAATAAGAAGTGTATGGGACAGCGAAGTGCCGACTATGCACCTATCCAACACAGTCTCCCAGGACACCGGGTTGTGGACTGGGAAACTTGTGGCAATTGCAGTGGTCGAAATGGGTCATGGCAACGGTCAGAAGTTTCGCATCGCATGCGCCCCATACCTTTCCTTCTGCATCCCTGGTATCCATCCCAATTTGCTTTCATTCGTTTGTCTTGTGCTTCACCACAACTGTGGGTGATGGTCTGATCCACCCAGATAGCCGATCAAATGTCCTGTCCTCTCTCTTTGCTTCGGACCGATCGGCCCCTGTTAGTGGCAGTTCATTTTGTATAAGTCAGCACGGATATTCAAACCCACCATCGGTCAGTTGTGTTCTTGTGGCATCGCCCTCCGATGAAAATCTCTTTCCCTTTCTAACACGGTTAATTTAGCTGGCAAGGCTTATCCCATGTGCATTCATAAAGCTNCGGTTAATTTAGCTGGCAAGGCTTATACCATGTGCATTCATAAAGCTATCGTACTATCAACGTGTTCACCTTGGTTTCTTGTAGCCGAATCTTTTTCACTGGTCGTGTCGCTCTTATCCCGTTCCCCTTTCGAGAAGTTTCCAAAACATAGTTTTGTTGTAGCGGGATAGTTTCGTTTTCCGTAGATATCCGTCTTTGTAGCAGTTTTTACAAGTCTGGACATTTCGGTGTGAATTATGGTATCTCTCGTAGGACTGAGAGCTAGGTGTCGATGGTCGTAGAGGGTGTTCTCATAGGCAGTGCTATCCTTCAATGCCGTTGTTGCGGATTGAGCAATGACAGGTCCTTTTTCTGTATATCGTGTCTCAGTTTGTCCTCCGGACGGCCACCTGGCAGATAAATAATCATCGCTTTGTTTTCTCGGTGCCATCTTACTCAGCCGTTCTTAAGGCCACAAACATTTCGAATAGTGCCAGCTGTCAATTGACAAGCAGTTTGGCGGCCAGAAATCTTCTCAACCATTGCGTAATATACGGATTCAATGGGTTTCAAATTCTTCCGTTGCAGTATTTGGGCTACAATTTCTTCCGTCCATTTCATCTTCATAGTAACGGATAGGTTCCAACATTTGTGTGAGAATCTTCGAAAGTGCGAACAGCGGCAGTAACCATCATCTCTGGCGTTCATCAGTATATGCATGGCATAGCTTCATGCTAATGGAACGAAGGCGGAAATGAGTAGGCTTAAGACTGTGGAGTTAAGTGAGCTGATTGTCCTGAACTAGAATTGAGACGCACGGGCAACCCCGAACGCTCGCTCCTGTTATACCCTGGCAACCAGCTGTTTTTGTGCAGCGCCAAATTCTGGAGGAACTGGAGCTACTTGGCCCCTGCATGACCCTGCATATATGGGCCTTCCAACATAGATAAACTACATCGCCATTACTGATGTCTGAGGAGGTGGTCGTTGGTCAACCCGCCAAGCTCCGCAGTTTACCATTGAACTTTTCGCCCCAATCGAGGAGGCATCACCAGTTCGCGGTTGACTGGATCCGCCTAATTGGGGACGAAACGTCTGCAGGTTTATTTCCGAATTCAATGAATACACCAACGACCATCAGATCAACTACCAATAAATGCGCCCAAGCCACCAACTTCTTAACACATTGCCAAACACCTCGCAGTTCGCTGTAGGTGGCGTGGGTCAGTTAGGAAATGTCGCTCGTTCTGGAATGTCTATTGGGCGCCAGACAAAGAAGTGTGTTATTCACCAACCAAATGGCACTTAAATCACGGTGCTGCTGACTCATTCACCCTGTTTATTGGTTTATTGGTAATATCAACACTTGGTTTTTTCATCGATTTCTTAAAAAGACCTTTGAAGCGACCGACAAGTACTCTTAACTCGCATTATTTATTCCCAAAAATGATAACCACAGCGGAATATTCATGACCCGAGTTGAAGCTAGACTGACTAGCTCTTTCACTCCCACACATGAGGAATAACAACCCCCGATCCACTGTATCGGGGACATTTCTTGACTCAAGATGGTAGGCTTTCGGCAGATCTTTATCCCTCATTAATTTCACCTGTGCAGCAGCGTTGCATAAAAGCGCACTTCAAAATTCTTGCGCTTCTCCCCACTTGCTAAGCAAGTTCCAGTTAGGCAACTTGCATGCTTCATTCCGATTATTCTCCCGAATTCCTTCGGAGCTCCCGCGATGTATCTAAAGTGTCCATAGCTAAATGGATCCCTCCCAGCACTTCTTCCGTAGTTGCAAGATACGAAAAACGCTTTAGTCTACATACAGCTCTTAAACATAGCCTGATCAGGTGTACTTCCTGAAGATCATCCGGGAGTAGGTTGGAACATTCATTAGGATTCTCCTCTGGACACGGCGCCATTCACCCTCCGACCAAGAAGCCTATTTCCTCCACCCCTGGTTATAATATACATGTCGAAAATCCACCCCAACTTGATTATTGCTTGTTTGTCGCAAAAGTAAGGCCCTATCTGAAGAGGGATATCAGTTTGTCGGCCACAGACATTGCAGGTCGATTCATTACATGCGAAGCATTTCCAAGACCTAGGAGCGCAGGCACAATTTTTTGGTATAACGGTTGATGAAGTATTTCACATGCCTGGTAATATAACCGAGATCAGGGTATAATTTATCTAGCAATCTCGTCCGCGGATCCGGGAGAAACACAGCCAGGTAAAAGCTGTTACGGTAGGCCGTAAAGCATGGACTTAGAAGTCATCTTAGAGCTATTATATTACCAGCGAGTTTAGTGTATCTTCAGTCGCACTAGGGTTTTCGTCCATAACTGGGTCGTCCATAACTTTGTCGTAGTTGTTGGTAACGCTTTTTTCCCGGAGGTAGCTCCAGAGCCGAAGTTCGTTTGCGCAGTTTACGAAAGGAATGGGCATTATCCTATTTAGGGTTGGTCACCACTAAGCCGGCACGGGCAGGGAAGCACAGCTGTTGTGCGTTTTCGGAGAGAATATCGAACAACATCTGATCGTTAGTAGTTAAAGATGGCGAGCAAAAAACGAGGTGAGGAGGGACAGGAGGCTTCTTGCCTGACACAACAAGAAAATTGTAACGGTGAAAAATGAGGAACCAGAACACCAGATGTGGTGAAGCAGCAGAGTTGGCGTCATCCGGACGATCATATTGGGGGACGGAAGAGTGAGATGATGGCAGCGCACGAGCCGGAACACGAACTGTGCAGAAAGTTATTGAATTCTGCGAGGAGCACAGACACAGAAATGGTTAAATTCGAACAAAAGTTTCAGCTAATTAGAATGAACATGTCATGGAGGCAGCTGGGATCAGGTTTGAAGCTCGTTCGTATTTGCAGTTAATAGAACGAGTCGCACGCCCCGGGGAAGGAAGGGAAGGCTGCATCAATCTGTCCTTGCTTTACAATGGACTTAATCGGAGTTCTGCAAGGCTTTCTTTTGAGACCATCTTTCTTATGTGTATCAATGTCGTTTTCAGTTTTCCTTCGGGTTATTATTTACTATGGCGCACGACTTGGAGTCCTAGCGCCAGCTGACTTCAAGTGAATGTCCACACCGCAAGAGAGGAGTAACTTAATTGGCACTCCCTTTGCATGGCAACGTGTGTGCTATCGAGGAGGAGCAGCGAATGAGTTTGTCTTGCACGACCATGATGGATCAAATGACATCACAAATTTATATACTAAAGGGGTTTAGGTACATGGTTGTCTTCAAGCATGCCCTAATTTCCTTACGGAAAACCAGCTCGGAGGTCATTTGTTGCGCTTTGTGATTCAGTGCACCTATCTTTGTATTATCGGCTGAAACTTCGGGATGCTTCGTGGAGCCCAACGTCGCCTCTTAAAATTGCCAATGAAAGGGTCTACACCGGGGCATGGAAAGGGCGCTACCCTTGTTAAGCCCGTTTAAAGAGCTGCTATGAGGATGGTCACCGGCCTCAAACCATCAAGCTGTGGTGTTCGTCTGAAAATTTTTGAACTCCTTCCTCCGGACTATCCCCCGACGGGACCTTTTACTTACAACTGCATGAAAATGTTTGGCCAGTGGTTTTTTTCACTGCGGTCCCACCAGTGCGCGGCAGGGACTTGTCAAGATTTTCCGAAGCAGGGCGCACATTGTTGTTAGTGGGCAGCAATTCTTCTCATTTTCGATCATTGCTGAGTATAAAAAGCTTTTTCCAACAGTTTGCCGAACCGCACCTAGGCCCAGTTCATAACAATCGTGGATGCATTCTTTGTGAACCCTTGCCCTGGTAAGCTTACTACCCAGTGTGAGAAGTCAACGAGCGGCTCTACATCTCATTAAGCTTTGTGCTTTTCGATGGACGAAGGGTGCTGTACAACAAGAACGTGGGCCATGAAGCTTGGACAGAAACCTCAATTCCGTTTGTCGGTCAATGAATCCGTCAATCCGTGAACCCACCCCGATAATCTAGGTCTTTAGGAATCTTTCAGTATACACCCAGAAATTAATCATCCTTTGTCATTTCGAAACGCCGGAGGTCGTGGGCCATTAAAAATGCGGTGGTGCTCGGTTTGATTAACCGGCGGTCGCACACAAATCGGTGGTGTTGAGCGACCTTGAAAGCCAGCTCACTTGAACATAAGGCTGGGCGAAACATATTACTGAAACGTGTTTTAGGACTAGACGAACTCAGTAAAATTCTCGACTTCGGAAACCTAACGGTTTCGGCGAACTCAATTTGGGTCAGCTAGTGATCGACCAATTTATGGTGTCCATCATCCGCACAATGCCCTCAGCTGCAAAACCTTTGCAAATGAAGTAAAACGTTTTACTCCGAACTGTTTCATTTGGTTGCTTATGTGCTCAAACCAAAAACCGTCCAAAACTGCGCTCATATTTTTGCAGCTCACCAAATTTCATCGTTCACCGAAGCAAGGATGGCCCTGGCTGAAAAGTCCTGTGGGATAATTTAGCACGTTCGCTGAGACCCTGTGATGCTCCAATGGGGATTAAACGTTTGAACTGGCACTCTCTACTCAATTTATCGATTGCTTTGTCCCACTATAGACACATCATATCTTTCGAAAATTCAGTTCCATTGTGCGAATACTGATCGCTACAATTTATTGGTCGTGCTGCAGATTTGTCAAAAGCCCGCGCCTGGTTTTTTGCCTGCAGGGTTTCACATTACGTTTTTAAGTTAACCTCCTGCCTCTGAAGCTCCTTCGACATGTGACTAGCCTTTTGTTGTACATATCCTTTGTTTATGGTGGTAAAAGCCCCCGTCAAGAGGTGCAGTATTTTCAGTTGCTCCCAGAGAAGTTAAGTCATCGGTAGCTGGCAGTTTGTCCGCTCGTCTTCCCTTCGCGTGTGTTGTTTACATATGTGACAAGTTAGCACTAGATGGGTGAGATTTAGATAGGCGAGCCGTAGCCCCAATATTATCTGATAGGAACAACTTTGAAATACTTAGTCCCAGAAGTCTTTTTCTTGAGCAGTAATGCTCCAAAATAGTTGTTTGCACTTCCAGACCAAATGTTGACAGTTTGTTTGTTACACACTGTTGGATAAAAGAACCTCTCGGGACATCGCGTTCGCAAAGCATATTAATTATTGTTTCACTGGGTGCCTCTGCGTCTCGTGAATGCTCCGTACTGGTGCTAATTGCCGAAAGTGAGGCGCATCCAGACGATTAAGGAAGATGAGATTCCTGGAGCCGTTTGAAGCTGATACTTGTGGCTGGTTGACCGGGACCATTCTCTCCAGAACGGGGCTCAGAAAAATGTAGGGGAATCGGTATGTGCTTTGGTTCAGTCTGAGAAATTTGGCGGCTAGTTTGTCGTCCTTTGCGAAGATGTCACAAATCACCCACAATTTGTCATCATTTGTAACTCCAAAACCTACTTTTGTGGTTAGTAAATGCACCGGAACTGATGCTTGTTTGGTTGCTTATGTGTTTATTTGACCCTGGTGCCACAAAATGTGTTAGGTTTGTCCTTATATGCGCGGGTCTTCCTCACTCGGTTCAGTCCACGTTTTCACAACGATCCGTTATATCTACTGATTTGTCAATCAGAAAGGAACACAATAGCTATATTCCGAACAAGCGGGTGCGAGAGCGTGAGTGCATGCGAGAGCGAACGTACAACGGTTTCAAGCTATTTATTGGAGGGAACTCGGTCCAATGCTGACGCACATGGTCTGGCTGCGACGTGCTGCATATTGCGGGGGCGTTGTCTGATCTTGATCAACGCTTACTCGGGCTGTCTGGGTTTGATACAAGGTTGTGACGCGCTGCATATTGAGGAGGCGTCGTCTGCCTGGTCAACATCTAGTGGAGCTGAGAGTCTCGGTGGATTTGTGGAAGCTGACCTTCCTGATACGATCAGACCTTTAAAGTCTGTACGGATCACTTCTTAGAGTCGCATAACAACAGTCGGGGCTTGTTAATTTCTGTGAGCTACTGCTTTCCCGAACAATATGAAAACCTCACTCGGAGTGTACTCCGCACACCCAATAGTTCTGATATTACGAGTTGCTAGAAAAAACTGTGGTTGCAGCAAATGGTGTGTTTGGGCATCAGAGTTGCTCAGACTCATGAGGAGAAGCGAGGCTGTTTGATGGCTCTACTGGTACAAAGAAGACGTGATTGTTAACAAAAACACAAAGTAAGGCGCAAAAATGCGAAAGTTCAACGCCAGCTTCAAGACGACTACCTGAAAAACACTTGGCGTGATCTGAAAAATGTGATTCGGAACGAACATAAACGCACACAAATTGGAAGTGGGCATACAAAGACGACTTCCTAGAGTGGCTCAAGATGATGACAATGTTATCAGTGATAAACAGTCTCTTGCTAAATTATTGGCTAAGGAGTTTACATCCGTCCACATCCCACAAACATGGTAGAGCTAGTATACACCCATACTGGACGGAAATGTTAAAACTGGCGTAGAGGAATACGACAATAAGCTGTCCAAGTAGGACTTTCGCTCTGTGAGTCGGACACCCGGTGATCACGCCAACACCATGAATTAGAATCAGAAGTATTTGGGGAGCCACCATCTGTACAAGATAGTCTAATTTAGCATCTACCCAACAAATCACCACAAACTAGGAGGTTTTCAGACCCTTGTGAAAAAGAGGGCACAGGGCCGTTTATCAAAGACAGTAGCGCCTGCATACCAGCTCGTCTCAACTTCGTGGACCTGAACTCTCTGAACTCTCTGTAGTATGGGTCTCAGACGACTCTGTGTAAAAAAGGCACTTCAACACAGGGGTTTTCAGACCCTTGTGAAAAAGAGGGCACAGGGCCGTTTATCAAAGACAGTAGCGCCTGCATACCAGCTCGTCTCAACTTCGTGGACCTGAACTCTCTGAACTCTCTGTAGTATGGGTCTCAGACGACTCTGTGTAAAAAAAGGCACTTAACTCAACACAGATTTGACATCGAGCGTTCAGTTGCAAACTTGGTGCTAGGGCTTGAGAAATGGCGCTAGGCTAGCAGGCAACTAAAGATAATCCGAGCAGTTTTTGTCGACACCGGCGAAGTATTTGATTGCACTAACCACGGTGTTGATTCCCCCTGTGAATCAACGGTGAACAAGGGTAACTTTCCTTGTTTTCTGACTACTCATGAGTAACATGACTTACACCTGTTTGTTATGACACCGTTTCGTTTTCTTGCTGCTCGTTTCCCCCCGCTTTGTTCCCACTTAAGGTCTGCTTATCCCTCAGTAAGTGATGTCAATATTTGTTGCTCATCTGTCATCGCCTGCAAGTTTGCTTCGATTGCACCTATTTTTTGAGCGCCCGCTCCGACGGAAAAGCGAGCTGACCTGGTATCGAACCCGGATCCTCCGGACGGCAGGCGAACGCGCCACCGACTACACCGGCCTGACACCGGGACCGGCTGATTATTTTGTATTACCCATGTATCACGCCTGCCAGATAGACTCTGCTGAGCGTTGTTTTAAACGGACGAAACCGCGTAATCTGACTTGTCGCGCGACAAGAGCGGCCGCGTCGACGCCGACCGAAAGATAGTCCCTCACATGCCGAACGTACTGACTCCTGCGCCGTTACGGCCAACTCACACTGTCGGACTGCCCCTATATGTATGTTTGTACATCGTTTGGTACTTACTTGTTGTTGCCCCTATAGAAATCCGTGCTGCGACAGTGACTATTTCCCGCTCCTGCCGATCGCGTCATTGTTGATTGTACGCATGCTTCATTCATGATGCTTACTAATCCGTTT